TTTAGGCATGGTCTATCTTCCAACACCAGCCAATCTCAATCGTAATTACCTTTACTAATAATTTACTTTATTTTAAATTTTAATTAATTATGTCCAACAATTAGTGACCAACTAAAGTAAAAATAAAATCACTCGTAGAATTTATTAACGTTTTGTCTAACTTTCCATTCAATAGTTATGTATGAAAAAAAGTTGAGTCATCGTAATGTAGCCTCTTCAATAATTTACTTTTGCACTTATCAGTTTTTCTATTCTGCTCCCCTTGTTTGTATTTTTAAATTTCACTAATGTTTTACTTTTTATTTTAATTCCATTATTCCCAGAGTACGTTCAACTGATACCACTTCCGAGTAGAGCCGATGCTTCAAACAGTTTCGTAGGATCTCAGGCGATAATAAGTGGATGGGGATACATTTCTCAGTCTGCTACCGATATCAGTGACGTATTGCGATATGTCAATGTAAATGTTATATCAAACGACGTGTGCAAGCAAACGTTCAATTCGTTCGTTAGAAACTCAAACATTTGTTCTGGAGGAGTGGGCAAAAAAGGGGTTTGCTTTGGAGATTCAGGCGGGCCTCTTGTTGCCAGTGGAAAATTGGTAAGTGCATATTCTTTTAAAATCATTAAATCAATTTTTTTTTGTGTGTATATACTCCAGGCTAGATTATTGGTAGCACTGCGTCTCCCATTGAGAATTTGAGACTTTGGGATGAGTGGTAATGGTTAAGGACAAGATATGTTTCATAACATTCTTACCTCGTTGCCATTTGCTTGTAAATATGTAATAGAGACTGAAATTTATTTTTAATATACAGAGAGAATATAAAGATAGGAGACGAAACATTAGAAGAAGTGGCTGATTTTAAGTACCTAGGAAGTCAGATAAGTTAGGACAGAAGGAGTATTAGAGATATAAAGCGTGGGATAGCGTGATTCGCTTTCAATGAAAAGAAGTCACTTCTATGCTCGCGAACGGTTAACTTAGAAATTCGAAAAAGAAAAGGTGTATGTTTGGAGCCTGGCGCTATATAGGTGCGAAACATGGACAGTGGGCGTGGCGGAATAGAAGAGGTTAAAAGCGTTCGAAATGTGGCGTTACGGGCGAATGATGAAGATAACGTTAATAGAGAAGGTTAGAAATAAAGAGATGTTAGAAAGAATAGAAGAACAAAGGATTCTATGGATGTCGATAAGAAATAGACGAGATAGGTTGGTAGGACACTTTCTCAGGCATAAATTTCTAGTCAGAGACATATTAGAGGCAGAAACAGAAATTAAGAGAAGTAGAAGTAGACCTAGATTAGATTACTGTTCACAAATTGTTAAAGATGTGGGATGTTCTAGTTTTAAAAAATTAGCTCAGGATATGAAAGAGTGGAGTTGCAATGCGTGTCCAACCAGTCTTAGGACTGATGATGAGAGATAAATATCTGTGATACATTCTACCCGCTTTTTTTCTAATCAAAACGAGTGAGTGGACATTTAAGAAAATTACTACCAATTTACTTGATATGGGTATAACAATATTGCTATTCTTTGTTGTCTGTTACAGGTTGGTGTAATTTCGTTTATAAGCAATGGTGGTTGCGATGCTGGGGATCCAAACGTCTTGTCAAGGGTAACATCATTTTTAGACTGGATCGCAGCAAATAGTGATGCTGTTATTTCTTAAGCAACTGAGTTCTTCACTGAATCAGATATTGCAAATAAACGATTATTGCTATTGAATGAAACGTTACACATATTGTATATAATATTATATATTTATATCTAACGCCAACTATTGTGGAAAGTTGTAAAAACAATAATATATCCATCATATGGCTTTATGGTGCACCGCACTAATCTAAGGCGCTCCCGTCCCGGCAAAAATATGGTTGAACAAAAACATTTCGTTATTCAGTATACAGAGCATACTGCTATATGCAATGCAAAAAGTAAAATGCATTAAGGTCAATCAATACATTAGAACATAGTTATATAAATAAAGTACAATTAGCACCAAGTGTTAGCCTAAACAAATGAAGGGATCGTAATATAGTTAACAACAGAGTCCAAAAGAAGTAGGGGACTTTTATCAAACTAAAGCAGTTGCGAAGGGAGTGATAAGGACTCATAACGCTCCAGATGGGGATTCAGTAAAAATCCCTCCGCAGGTGAATTTTAATATAACAATTCACTGCGTGATAAAACAATGTGAGTAAGGTGTCAGGTCAGGTTACAAGGAACTGCAACCGTCCATACTCGGGTGTTACAAAATTTATAATAATTTACTGATGGTTTTTTTATTTTCTTTTTGTCAATTTATACAGATATGTAGGTATTTGTTTTAGTTATTTTCGGTTTCTCTTTTTTGTCTAGACTTTATTAACCAATTTGCCTCTTAAATATTAACTGATATTATACGCAATCAGAGTAATATTTTATAATTCTTTTAAATATTTTTTCCAACCAATGAGTAAGACAAAGACAATCCTCATCTTAAAATCATGCATTTTTGCGTTAACTTTGTAGCTCCAACTAAGGTGAGCAGTTAGCTGGTTAGTATTCAATCATGAGCCAGATCGAGTTATCTGTACATAGGTTTGTCGGAGAGAAAAAGAAATTTTTCTCGATTGGTAAGTTGGTCGCTAGAAACGTTTGGGGTTGTAGAGGGTAAGGAAGAGCACATCGAGAATGAGAATCTTTACATTTCAAGAATACGAGAAGGATAGGTTATTAACAGCTTGAGTAGAAGAAAGGAGATAGAACTCGTCCTGTTGGTTCGACTTCTTTCGATTTCATAGACATAGGCGTGTACGAAAAACGTAAAAGGGAAGTCGTGAATCGCGATTCGCATAGTGGAAAAGGCAACCAATTTTAGTGCAAAAGTCCCACGGGATCCAAAGAATAATCCGTCTCTAACATTTCACGTACCTTGGCAAAGAAGATTGATTGATGAGTGAAGAAATTCGCTGGCTCTGTATTATAGTCTGAGAGAGTTTCTTCGTTTGTACTCCTTTAACATGACACAAAGTATTGAAGTGTGTAGTCCACCATATCATGTTTTTTGATGTTGTCCCTGGCGAGTGCCGTAGATTGACAAACTGTAGCCACCCCGCTTCCGCCCTAGAGAGACGTGTGCCCAGGTTGTCATTGCTAATCGTCTAGTCCAGGGGTCGGCAACCTTATAAGTCGGAAGAGTCGAAAATTACAATTCACAAAATTTCAAAATTTTTAAAGAGCTACAAATTTTTTTCTTGCCAAAAATAAATAGTACTCGCAATAAATAAAATTATCCTATTTATTCATAAAAAATAATATCTATTTATTTACAACACTAACTTGTACTTCAATAACAAACAATTGAGCAAACAAATTCAATGGGAGCCATGGCTTTGCATGGTTATTCAAGTAGAAAATTTAAACTTTACTAAACAATGTAACTTGTAGTTAAAATAAAAAAAAGAATAATAACATACATTTGAGCAAACAAATTCAATGAGAGTGTTGGCTTTGCATAGTTTTAAAAAGTTTGGATAAATTTGGCTCATAACTTGTTGTTTTAAGTCTCAAACAAGACTCTAAATTTGTTAGTTGGCTTCTTACTTTACTTTTAATTATATTCATGCAAGGGCTTGCTCGCACGAATATGTCGATCCGAAGATNTGGAAGCTGGCGGAAATTTTAAAATGGCGTGGATGCGCGGTGGCAAAAGTAGGCAGTTTTAGGTATAACGATTGCAGCCCTTTTTCTTCAGTATTCCTATCAGGGGCGTAGATTAAATATTTAAAAATAGGGATCAGTGAGCAAGTAATAAGCGGACAAACAGAAGAACTAATTGTTGATGTGGGTGACAGTGAAAGAGATTTCCTATTAATATTATAATTTACGCCTACTGAAAGCTTATTTGTGTATCGGTTCCAAGTGACTTACCCAAATAGGTCATAAATGGGCAAGTACTTACGCGGCCGCTCGCCAGCTTCCTTCGTCCGACCTGAACAAGTGGCTGAGAGATAGAATCAGTGTGTAATCCTCGTTAATCAATTCAGAACGATTTTTAAATGTTTTTGTTTTTGATAAAATAAATAATATTTTTGTATGGAACTAAAGAGCCGCAGCTTCACATCCAAAGAGTCGCATGTGGCTCGCGAGCCGCAGGTTTCCGACCCCTGGTCTAGTACGTATCATGCCGGATTTCTCGCAGCGACCCGAATTCTTCCCGACGCCTCTGTACTGTTTATCCATCCCTTGTCCTTCCTTTACTGATTATTATTTTTCACCTTCACCGTCCGTTATTAGTCTGCCATCGACGACCCCGATAACGGTACTATGTCTAACCGCCCCGTTGACACCTAACTGCTGTTACTACTTTTAAGTTTTTCTATTCTGGGCTCGGGGCCGCACTTTCGGAAGGGGTACAAATTTACTTTTTTAGGTTGAAGATTTGGTATTTACTAAAAAAAAATTGTTATGCGGTTCAACACTGTCGCAGCTCGCTCAATTGAACAACATCTTGCTCTTCTTTACTCATATTATTCACCCTCTCGCTCTATACTTCTATACCCTTGACATTTTTCTAAGAAACAACCTTCACTGTCTGATTGCCTGGTTTATTTATTATTTTCATATTCTTGAATATGCGGTTCACCGACCAGGAAATCGTTACCTATATACTATAAGATTAAGAAAATTTTCCCTCTGAGAAAAGTCCGTGAAAAGTTATTTTAAATGATACCTAATAATTTCTAGTCCAAAGATCCCCTAATACAATAAAGCCCTCTGAATTTTCCTTAATGGTGTGATAGCTCTAAAACTATTACTAATTCTACTCGTTTCTGTAACTTCTACAGGAAGAAGCTTCTCCAAATTAAAAATAATAGAAAATTATTTAAGACCGGAAGACCTTCATAATTGTATTAATTAATTCTTAGTATTGGAACTAGGCATTAAAGTGATTAGCTATTCTTTTACTAAAGATTTATTTAGTACCAATAACTGTAATATTTGTCAGTTGCTTAAGAAATAACAGCATCAGTGTTTGCTGAGATCCAGTCTAAAAATGATGACACCCTTGTGAAAGCGCTTGGATACCCTGCATAGCAACCCCATCCACTTACAAATGCAGCTACACCAACCTGTAATAGACAAAACAAAGGATATTATATTATAGCAATAGTGTTGATTCTATGTAATTCATATATATACAAGCTGACTTTATTAGATTGGCGGTCATTATCATTCTCTCCTTTTAAATAAATAAAAAAAAACAGGTAAAATGATATACGAGGTCTGTTCAAAAACTACCACGAGTATTGTGTTTTTTCAAAAATTATTTATTTATTCATGAATATCTATTTTGTCCCCTTCAAAGTAATCTCCACCAGATATTATACACTTATGCCAATGTTTTTTCCAATCCTTGAAACACTTCAAAAAATCGTTTTTTGTGATCTTGTTCAGCTCCTCCCTCGATGCCGTCTTTATCTCCTCAATCGTAGCGTAGCGTCGTCTTTTCGTGGGCCTCTTCAGTTTCAGGAACAAGAAGTCAGAGGGGGTCAGATGTGGGGAATACGATGCCTGCGGCATTATAAATGTTGTTTTTGGCCATAAATTCGCGCACAAGCAATAATGATTGAGCAGGGGCGTTACCATTCCACAAATCCCGGCGTATCTGGTGAATGGCTTCGCGTAAATTGTGTATAACTTGCAGGGAGTATTCCTTATTGACTGTTATACCCTGTGGCAAGAACACATGATGCACTACGCTCCTGCAACCAAAGAAAACTGTAAGCAAAACCTTCACATTGGACCTAACTTGGCGCGTTTTTTCTGGTCTTGGCTCGGGCGGCAGCTTCCATTGGGATGATTGAGCTTTGGTTTCCACGTCATAGACATGCTGTTTTTGGTCACCAGTTATGACCCTCTGAAGCTAATTTTTTGGTACGAATTTCGCGGCGACCTGTCTCATGTCCAAATCATTGATAAAAATCGAACGGCAGGAGCCAATCGTTATGTTTAAGTCTTCAGCTACTTCTCTAACGGTGATTCGACGATTGGCCTGTACTATTTTCTTCACATCATCAATATCTTCGTCTGTTGTTGACGTGCTTGGACGTCTTCGTTCACATCTTCTCGTTTTGTACCACCATTAAACGTTACTTCGGTTCAAGGCAGCGTCGCCATATGACACAGTCAACATTTGGAATGCGTCGCGCACTTAATTTTGTTTTTCACGCAAAATTTGATATAGATCGTTTAATACGTTTTTTGAAAAATCGAACATACGTAACGCACAGAAATTGAAAACTCGCGATAGTTTTTGAACAGATCTCGAATTCACCGAATTATGGAACGCATTTTGTAGACAGCAAAAGAATAAATAATCACATATTTACAAATGCTATGAAACAGATCTTTCACTTTGTGATTTGGCAGGTGACTCAGGATTAGATGAAAGTGTAAATCTGCAAGTAGGCAAAAATTTACGAATATTGTTATGAATCATGATAGAGAAAAGGGGTACACTAACGCACAATTCGTCATATAGTATTTGGGAAAAGCAAACTGTGCAACGCTTTAGAGTGAGAGGTGGCAGAGAGAGATAGCGTAAAGGTGGTTGCGAATTCTGGCGCTTTCCAGCAGTTGTGATTAATCGAGAGCATTTCTTTCAGTTTATCACCAATTTTTTTTCTTTAATTCGTATTATTTTATTACTATTCTATTACTTGCTCACTGATCCCTATTTTTAAATATTTAATCTACGCCCCTGATAGGAATACTGAAGAATAAGGGCTGCAATCTTTATACCTAAAACTGCCTACTTGAATTGAAAAGAATCACGCAACTGGCTATTGCTGCTAACCATCACTCCCCTCAAATTTGTCAGTGACATACACAGCCCTACCAATAACCGCAATTATCACTGGATGGCAGTGAGTGGTTTTACATAAAATTTAGACTTAGGTAAACATATATGCTCACATATATTCATTTTATACATACAAAGGTATATTGATTTAGTATTTTTAAACTGATATATATTTACCAATTTTTTGCTGACGACAAGAGGTCCGCCCGAATCTCCAGAGCAAATGCCTTTATTGCCCGTTCCTCCAGAACAAATCATTGAGTTGGTAATGTACGAACCGAAGTTTCCTTTACACACGTCGTTTGCTATAACCGGAACATCGACATATCGCAATACGTCACTAGTAACGTTAGCAGAACTAGAAAAGAATCCCCAACCACTTGCTACTGCCTGCGATCCTGCGAAACTATTCGAAACGTCAGCTCTACTAGGAAGTGCTATCAGTTGAACGTACTCTGCGGAAAATTGAATTTACTTTGGTAAAAAAACCCAGAGAAGTTACAAAGAGGGCAGAATAAACACCAAAAAATGATAAGTGCAAAATAATAGAAGAGGCTATATCAGGGTTGCTATATCAAGAAGTAAATCTCATAAATCATTTATATCAAGGGTATATGTTTTATAACCAATGAAGTTAAATCATCATTTGTATACCCCAGGTCCATGCAGCTACCCGTTACATGACGGTTCAGTAGCGTGCTTTCAGTATTTTATTCGTACACGATAACAAGGCTCTTAATAATTTAATTAATTAAATCAGCTTTTCTTTGCATGCCAATGACATCAAATCGGTTAAAGACAACTGGCTGAGCGAACCACCACTATTGCATTTATTTACCTCCCTTAAGTGACAGCTACTTCTTGAAATAGCGGCTCTGTTATACGAGGGTGGATTGATAAGTTTCCGGCCTGATCAAGAAGAACAAGCTTTTTAAAAATTTTTTTTTTTTATTTCTCAACATAATCTCCTCCAAGGCTGATACATTTCTCATAGCGGTGTTCCAGTCTATTAATGNTTACTTGCTCACTGATCCCTATTTTTAAATATTTAATCTACGCCCCTGATAGGAATACTGAAGAATAAGGGCTGCAATCTTTATACCTAAAACTGCCTACTTGAATTGAAAAGAATCACGCAACTGGCTATTGCTGCTAACCATCACTCCCCTCAAATTTGTCAGTGACATACACAGCCCTACCAATAACCGCAATTATCACTGGATGGCAGTGAGTGGTTTTACATAAAATTTAGACTTAGGTAAACATATATGCTCACATATATTCATTTTATACATACAAAGGTATATTGATTTAGTATTTTTAAACTGATATATATTTACCAATTTTTTGCTGACGACAAGAGGTCCGCCCGAATCTCCAGAGCAAATGCCTTTATTGCCCGTTCCTCCAGAACAAATCATTGAGTTGGTAATGTACGAACCGAAGTTTCCTTTACACACGTCGTTTGCTATAACCGGAACATCGACATATCGCAATACGTCACTAGTAACGTTAGCAGAACTAGAAAAGAATCCCCAACCACTTGCTACTGCCTGCGATCCTGCGAAACTATTCGAAACGTCAGCTCTACTAGGAAGTGCTATCAGTTGAACGTACTCTGCGGAAAATTGAATTTACTTTGGTAAAAAAACCCAGAGAAGTTACAAAGAGGGCAGAATAAACACCAAAAAATGATAAGTGCAAAATAATAGAAGAGGCTATATCAGGGTTGCTATATCAAGAAGTAAATCTCATAAATCATTTATATCAAGGGTATATGTTTTATAACCAATGAAGTTAAATCATCATTTGTATACCCCAGGTCCATGCAGCTACCCGTTACATGACGGTTCAGTAGCGTGCTTTCAGTATTTTATTCGTACACGATAACAAGGCTCTTAATAATTTAATTAATTAAATCAGCTTTTCTTTGCATGCCAATGACATCAAATCGGTTAAAGACAACTGGCTGAGCGAACCACCACTATTGCATTTATTTACCTCCCTTAAGTGACAGCTACTTCTTGAAATAGCGGCTCTGTTATAGGTACTCTGTTATATAGACGTTGGAAAATTAGGAGAGTCTAAATAAATCCCACGAAACGCTGCCTGTTGAATGATTTAATGTTTACTTTAATGAATATTAATTATTTATTGGACAAAACTAAAATATGATAAAGTAAATTATCAACAATTTTGAAGGGGCAAAGAGATAGTTACGATTGAGGTTGGCTGGTGTTGGAAGATAGATAACTCCTAAGTCATTCTGGGCTGGTTGATTATTATAATTTTCATGTTGTTTGAACGTTGTGCTGGAAATGCGTTGTTGTGTCGGTTCAGATTGACGAACGTTATGCGCTCCAAGTATCACTTGTGCTGATATAAGTCTAATAAAAAAATAAAAAAGTAAATTCAATGAAGATTACAATAAAGAGCGAATGTCTTACCCGTCCGTCAAACAATGTGCGGCTGTTAACACGTATCTTTTGGTGATAAGAGATCCACCACAGAAATACCCCCCTTTATTGTGATTAAGTATCAAAGCGACCTAAATCAATAACAATAGTATAATGCATGTAAACAAACAGTTACACTTGATAGAACAGACATTCAGCTGAGGGTGAATGGTTAAGAGAAGAGCATGTTGTTTTGAACTCTAGTATGTTTTTTCAAAAATTATTTATTTATTCACGAATTTCTATTTTGCCCCCTTCAAAATAACCCCATCAGATATTATACACTTGTTCCGACGTTTTTTCAATCCTTGCTTTTGGCCAAACATTCGCGCACAAGCAATGATGTTTAAGCAGGGGCGTTTTCATGGTGCAAAAATGCAATTTTTGTCCTTCCACAAACCTAAGCGTTTGTAGTGGATTTGTTCGCCCAAAGTGCACATAACTTACAGTTAATATTCTGCCCTGTGGCAAGAACTCATGATGCACCACGCCCGCAGGGGGTAGAAAACTAAGTAAAACCTTCACATTCAACCTAACTTGGCGCGTTTCTTTCGGTCTTGGCTAGTGCGGCAGTTTCCATTAGGATAATTGAGCTTTGGTTTCCACGTCATAACCATAAACCCATGATTCGACACCAATTATGACACTCTGAAGTAAATTTGGGTCATCGCGGGCAGAATCCAACAGCTCCTTAGCAATGTTAATGCGAGCTGCTTTTGGTCGAAACTGAGCATGAGCAATTTTGGTACGATTTTCACGGCAACCCGTCTCATGCCCTATCAGCAACTATTGGTAAAAATCGAATGACAGGGGCTAATCGATGTGTTTAGGTCCTCAGCAGCTTCTCTAACAGTGATTCGACGATTGAACAATAATTTTTTCTTGACTTTATCAATGTTTTCGTCTGTTGTTGAGGTGCTCGGGCGTCCAACACACTCTTCGTCGTTCACATCTTCTCGGCCCTCTGAGAACATTTTGTACCACCGATAAACGTCGCTTCCGTCCAAAATAGCTTCCTCATATGCCACAGTCAGCATTCGGAATGCGGCCGCTCACTTAATTTTGTTTTTCACACAAAATTTGATTTCTAGAGTAGGCAAAAATTAAAGTGCAAGCAAAGCAGCTGTCAAAAATTAACTGAACTTTCGACATGGGCAAACTTGCCAGTATAAGTGAGAGGCATGAGAACCAACATGACGCCACAAAAAAATCGAAAATCGAATATACGTAACGCCTTGCAAATTCAAAATTCGTCATACTTTTTGAATACGCCTCGTACATCATCGATTAACCCCCAAGATCTTGATCAAATTTCAAACATTCCAACTATTTTCAATGCTTACTTGGTATGGTAAAGAGTTTCGTGCAGCTTCATTACCTCCCACGATCTTTACGTGTGTAGTCCACC